GTCGAAAGAGACCATAATCTCGTCCTCATTGATGTCTCCTGAAGAGTTTAGCTGCTGGGTGTTGCTAACTGCTTTACTCTAGAACTGATTCGGCATACTCTGGAACTCTGTGACTAGCCACTTCGCTAATAAACTGCAGACACGATCTCTTGCATTTCATTCCCCGGTTTGTGGACTTTGGGGAGACCTTTGATCCTGTGTAGAATGGGATTGGGTTCCCGTAAACGACCGGCTCCATCTCCTAATGTCGATTTCTAAAATTGTGCCAAATCGGCAAATATGTCCAAAAAAGGCTTCAAATGTGTGAAAATGATCTGAAAACACTGGAAGAGTTATCTATAAAATTCATAAGTAGTATCGAAACAATAATGTAGTATTAAAACTAATTCGAAAACCACCTCATGTCCTTGTAAAATCGACTCGAGATCTACACACTTAGAAATACCTTATCTTACACGTGACGGAATCCATCTTTGACACAAAGGATGAGACGTAAACAAACATGTTATATAAAATTAAGTGCTCCGAGACTGAAGAGTTCGAAAGTACGTTGGATTGAGCTGAATTTTGCGTCTATTATGACTCAATTTTATGTCAAAAACTATTCAATAGCCCTAAACACGCTAAAAATGTTCCAAATAATTCAAAATGGCCTAGAATTTTCAAACTGGCTGTTTAATGCCAAAATGGCCATTAAATTGATTATTCCAGCTCAGATCAGATAAATTCTGCATTCAATTTTAAAAACCAGCACCTAAATTTACATTATTTTTTTTCTAATTGTGTTCTTTCAAAGATAGAATGACCATAAAAACCAAAAGAAGGCTTTAAATCGCGAAAAGGGCCTCTTATCGCTAAATTGGCTTTTAAAACGTCGTGAACTCGGTTAATTGAAACTTTTCCTTATTAGTGATTTATTTAGATTTTTCTCCGTTGCTTTACTTAAATCTATGGTTATTATTAGTTACGTAGGTTCCGATTCTACACGTTTAAGTTTCAATTTTTATATTTGTGATCTTGACATTTTTATGTATGGGATGAGTACTTAAAGGAATCCAATTTTAAAAAGTTTTTAAAGGGAAAGATACTGATGAAGACTGCACATTGTAATCTAAATACGTATCTGTCATGGATACCAAAATTAATTGAGTGGAATCAAATGGAAGATAACCCTTTTTGCTGTTTTATTTGAGCATTCCGCTAACAACCCAATTTCATTACTTCATTACGTCAAAACACCAACAATGCCTCATGAGTGCACTCTCGCTAAACAAGATTAAGGCTCAAAACACAGTCAATCAAATAGGATTCTTCTTGTTTTTGAAATATTCTTCAATCATCATCATTAGTATACACATACATTCACACACAAGCTATTCGAAAATTTAAAGCAAGTATTTCATGATTTTACATCGTATATTTTCTAGGTAAAACACGCTTTTCTCGTTTAAAGGGTGGCTGGTTACAACCTATAACGCATATTTTATTATATTTAGTGCAATATAAAAGATTCCTTTTTTTTCTTTTGATTACTCTTAATATTCGGTTAAATCATTAAAGGCAGGAAGCCCAAAAAACAATTTTGTTGATAAAATGGGTATTTTTTATTCATATCCACTAAGAACATGAAAGCTAAAAAGTACCCATTTTTTGAAGTATACGTCAAATACTCATTAATGAGTAATATTGGGTTTACTCATTTAATGAGTTAAGCCACTTTTCTTAAAAATTGGTCTTTTTTTACTCATTAATGGGTACTTTCAAGCTAGCGTGTAAACACTACCGACATCTACTCATCCGATCGCGTCATTCCATGAGTAAATATATGAACCCACGTATAATTTATGTTGCCTTGGTTTGCGTCTCACCTCGTTTGACAGATCTGATTGCCCTTTTGAAAGTTCAAATCGCTCGATTGACAATTCGAATTGTGGACAAACGAAATGCTCCTGTGGCATGTCGGTTCGTCGGTGATTGAAGTCTCATCGTATCGTCGCCCACTGGTTACCACACTCGGTCCAGACGAATTTGAGTCAAGAACCGAACTACCGTTCATATACTGAAGACATCGCCCTGATGAGACAACGAAACCTCACCACTAGCTCATCCCTTGATCCTTCGACAATGTACCCCTCTAACATCGAGTATTGGGCCTCATACTAGACTAAGAATTAAGTAAATTAGGTAGCGAAAAGACTCCGTAAAGTTAACGCGATTGAGCATTTCAAATAAACGAACTAGATAAAAAAAACCCGATGTTTAAGGGACCAGCGAGTTATAGAATTATCGAACTATAGAACAACAATGTCTTAGGAAATCCCCATCACAGTAGCCATGAAATCCATACTATACTACATACTTCCGGAATAATTTGAGATTTGGGCGTAATTGCATTTGTAAACAAACACGTCAATCACAGATTTCTCGCGAATAAAAGCTCAATCTCGAAAACTAATAACGCTATGAGGTAGAGGAATGATTCCTCTATCATTTGGTATAGTTTGTTTATGAGATTGAGCTTTATCTCAAAAGAAATTGGCAATTGACGTCTTTGTTTACAAAGGCAATTACGCCCAAATCCCTAATCACTCAGGACTTCGAAATGATTACCGACTTCGGTAATTTTTACCGAACTTTCAACGGCTGTTCGGTAAAATTTTAGAGCTTCAAAACAAGAAAAACTTTACCGCAATGACAAGACTCGATTATGTAAACATGGCTGACAGTGGTAATAATAATTCGGTAATAATTTCCAAGTGTATATGGTTCTATAACTCGATATCGAGTTATAGATAATTGACTTTATATCATTAACAGTTAAGGTTGACAAGCTACTTTTGTAGCTGGAGCCCCTCACATGATTGAAAAATAATTTGAATTTGGAACAAAGGTTTAAAAAAATAAAGTACCTAAAAGAATACTTTTTATCTGTTATTGTGAAGGTAACTTCTTAAGAATGACATGCCATAAATAATTGTAGAACTTTTTTTTAATTTTAAAATATTGTTTATGGATTTAGAAAAAAAATGGTGTACAACTTATTTTCGATACAGTCCTTAAATCCCAATAAATAACTGTGGAAGTACATCTCGAACATTATTTTAACATCCGGCTAACACTCGCTATAGAAGCGTAAAAAGCCTAGAAGAAGACATGTTACACCTGAGCTCCATAACAATGAGTCATTAATATAATAAATCAACACTTCAATAGGAAGTTTTAACATTATAAAAAAAAACTAATGGTAATGCACCCCAGAGTAAACCGACACGTTGCCACTTTTACGTGAATTTATCAAGTTGAAATGGTAGTGGAATTAGCTATGCTGATTGATCAAATCACGGAAAAAAATTCCGAGGACATTAAAAACATCATCGGGTCGTTTTGTCCTGGCGATGATTCTGAAAATATATTCTAATTAATCCGCCCGTGCACTTACGGTACCTATATATTGAAATGGTGTAAAACTTGGAAAACGCGTCAGAATAGCTAAATCAATTATTTGGTGCTTAGAAAGTAGGAGAAAATTGCCTTGGTGGTACGTATATAGTTCCCCTACGTAGGCGTGTATCACACTTCTCCTTATAATCCAAAGTTGTCAACCGTGAGCCTCAAATAACTGCAAAAGATATGCTTCGAAAATGGCCGTTTTTTCTTTTGATAAATTCTACTTTGAACCGTAATCGACACAGCAAATTGCATTCAATGTGTAGAACTACTCACGATTTTATCGGATGACGGCGGGCTTCATCCGTCAAGCGTTTGTCCAGCTTCGCCTCCGGAGTGTTGACACGCGGAGGAATCCGAAAGGTAGTATCCACCACAGTCATCGCAATCGGCGAAATATCGGGAGATCTCATATTCCTCATGGGTGAAAAGCTACGCTTTCGAGTGTTGGAACATTTTGCCTGTTTGTACGCCTCGAACGAGATATCCTGAGCATCCAGCGCTTCTGGGGAAAATACCGATATTTTAGGTGACGGTGCACAGGCGGACACCGATGCTGAAGCTGAAGAAGCTTAGGGTTAGTTCATCGTAATAAATGAATTGGAAATTATATCACATACCACGAGATTCATACATTCTTTTTGGGACGGAACACAGGCGGAACACAATAGAAGGAATTTGATAATCGCAACGAATTAAATAAAGTCTGAGGACGCCACAACACACTGATATTGCCTTCTTGTCGAAAAGAGATGCACAGGAAGAATGGAACAATAGGTAGTGTAAGCTGTCCGGTGGTCACTACCGATCACTTGCCATAATATTTGGCTATTGTACAATGCATAAAGCTCCGCGAACAATGCATCCGATTTTCCTACATCAAATTACCTATTGTGACTGACTGTCAGGGTTTTCGAAGTTAAACCTGTTTAACCCTTTTCTTCCCGAAAGGATCAAATTTTTCGTCATGGTATAAAAAAATCTTTAGTTTGTTTTGTCGGTATTCATGCTGGGATTATGTCAGAGATCTTTAAATACGACATGGTCCATGGTCTTCAAACCTGGGAATGCGATCTAAATGTTTAGAAAATTCTTACTCAAGTTTGAACTTATGGACACAGACAAACAGACATAACACATAACAATATTTGTAAAACATCGTCGCTAAAACAAAACCGCCATATGTTGAGTACACTGTAGTGGGCACTACGCGGTACAGATAGCGGTAGTGTGTAAACGTCAAACGCAAGGAAATTGACTATGCACGCCATAGGTGGCGGTACTACCAACTACCATACTTTTAAATTGTCCGTTAAATGCTTGTTCGATGAACAAGTTGCAAGTGTTATGTCTGTTTGTCTGTGTTATGGAGATTGCTGCGCACGCACTCGCTTCAGTAACAGTGGTTAATACAAAAACACACGACTTGAGCGTACTTTTCGTTCATTTACATCTAGACACTTATTTGCATAATCACGTGACGGTGCAATTAACGCCGATGTACAAGCGGTTGGTGTTTTCTTTCGATTGAAACACATTCGATTGGAGTGATTTGATTTTTTTACATCCTACGGCGAGTTATCGCCCAAACAAACACTTTATTTGCGAATTTTATTCTCTATGTTTTGTATCCTTTCCTTTCCTAATTCTACTAGGACCGATACCTTCTTTGGGGTCTGAGGTTTTCCACTTCATTCGACTTTTGTGTTTCTTTTTCGTCTTTCAAAGAGAAGACATTGCGATTTCACGCGGTGACTTATGTTTATGACTTTAAAGGGGATGGTAGTTTTTGTTTCTCCGGTAGTAGCATGCCAAATGCGCTTTTGTTGTTGTACTTAATATGTTTTTCGATGATGTATGTAAACCGCGCCGCCTACTGATCGGATCGCTTTACTTCTTGTGGGCAAAGTCTTCACCCTTCTGGATGTTCTTCTTCAGCTCTGGAATGGCCTTCTTCAGCAGTTCCTGTTCGTAAGCATTCAGCTTGGGCAGTCCAAGGTTCTTCTCAAGTCCGTTCTTGCCCAGGAGCAGGGGAGTGGAGAAGTACTTAGCTTCGGTAACATCCGAACGAACGTAAGCACATTCGATGACGTTCTTCTCGCCGTTCATGGCGCGGGCCAGAGCCAGTGCGAAACGTGCTCCAGCATAAGCCATCGACAGGGTAGCCGAACCGGCTCCTGCCTTGGCCTTGACGACTTCGGTACCAGCCTCCTGGATGCGTTCGGACAGAGCGGCGACCTTGTCCTGGGGGAAGCTAACCGACGGGGTGGCTTGCGACAGAACGGGGATGATTGTCACACCGGAATGGCCTCCGATGACTGGAACATTAACCTTTTGCGGGTCAACTCCGGCGGCTTCACCGATGAAGGTGTTGGCACGAACAATGTCCAGCGTGGAAACACCAAACACGCGCTTTACGTCCAGCACGCCAGCCTGCAATTAAACGGAAAAGATGAAGTGTTAAACAATTTATGTTGAAAATATCAAAAATGGTAATTGATCTAAACTGATAACTCCAAACTACCATTGAATAGCGCTTCAATAGGAATGACGATACAAAGTTCCAGTTGGGATGACATTAGCGACAATGTTAGAACTTGTTGCTAAAGGCCAGCTATTGGAATATTTGAATGGCAGCTCTGTGTTGATACCAGAACAATCAGGATATCGTTAAGGTCATTCTTGTGAAACAGCGTTGAATTTGGTGTGTAAGTGGAAAGACAATTTGAAGCGTTAAGATACGACTGTTGCTGGTTTTTTTGGATCTGAAACGCGCTTTTGAAACAATTTCTAGGTCCCTATTGTTAAGTATAATCAAGCGCTTTGGATTACGAGTCCTTCATATAAATGGTTTGAAAGCTATTTATCGGACAGAACTCAACTGACTGTTTTTAATGATTATATTTCTAGTCCCATGGGAAATAACCTTGGAGTGCCCCAGGGAAATGTATTAGGGTCCCTGTTTATTATGTATATTTATTACTTGCGACGTGAATTTCTGTTTATTTAAGCGGTGATGAGAAGTGCGCTGATCTATTGTCAGGGTTTTGAGATGTGCATTGCTTTTGTGCACGGAGTGACTTGAAAAAGAAAAGTGCAGAAAAGTGATATTTGGTTGTTGTGTGGTTGGAGTGGAGGGGAAAAAAAAATATGCGTGGAAGCATCGGGAATGCGCTCCCGGGTGAAGTGATTTGGTGAGAACGTTCCAGTTGAAGATTGTTGACAAGTGTATTTGTGGTAATGCAAATTATGGTTTAGATGACGCATGGCTTCAAACATTTTGTGTATCCAAATAAAACATATTACATACTAAATACGCACAGAGCATCGTCTGCTGACCATTGCCGCGGGTATATCGTGGGAGTCCCAGGTACCCGGTTCAAGCTTTAGTTGGCGGCGGTGGCTCTTCTTGACCTTCTACCCCCTGAGTAGTTAGTGTGAATAAGGGCGTCTATGTGATGTTTTGCTGTACCTGTTGTGGACATTTAGTGCATCCTGTTCCCTTGACTTGCTGAGGACACCCTGTCTTGCCTCAAAAGTTACCCTTTTTGAAGTACTAGTCTTCACAACATAAAGGGCACCATTACGGAGCATGAGATTTGATCAAGTTATTCGCAGTTCTACTTGTCCAACGCCCCCGGCTGGGTGAGGGATAGAGGATGACACACACACACACACATATATTTTCTAGGTAAAACACCATCACTGCATTTACTTACTTGTGTTCTTCGTAGCATTCAACAATTTCACGTAATCGAATACACAAAATGAATAAAAACTGGAGGTCAAATCTCTTGGTGAACAAAATAAAACACCAAGAAAATCACTCCGACTCCACTTCTTTGCTAGGGAACGTAAAAGAATCATTGAACAAGCGTTGCCAGATGTATTACGTCTAGCAGTCAACATAAGTTTATTAAAACATGCAAATACTAAGTTTCAACCAATAACATAGATGAGTGGATGATTTTAATAGAGAATGAATATCAAACACTGAATAAATAAAACTAAAAGGACCTTTTTTGGAACATAAACGTTAAAAAAACATTGAATTAAACACAAAAAGGGAAGATGGCAGCATTGCATGTAGCCTGTTATTGGCTTTCCCGCTCAGGGGTGTAAACAAAATGCCGTACAGCGTTGTCTGGCAGTGTGAATGTTTTGTCTACGACATTCTTATACGCTTGCATGTGTGATGTCAATTTGCTGTTGTATTGAAAATTAAAAGAATAAAAGAGATGGTAGATTTTGCTCACCATACCAGTTGATATTTATGATTCATTGACTGTTTTGGCACGCCGACGCACACTACCAACGAATTTTACCAATACTTTTAGAAAGTGATGATTTAGGAATACAAGAAGAAGAAGCAAAAGCAAATCGAGTGATGGTTAGTTGCCTCTTGAAGCGGCCTAGAATTGCTTTGAAAACAACAAATTGGCAAAAAAAATCTTCTCACCAGTCTGAAAATGACAACGCTCATAATAATCAAGAAACGATCCAATAGCCCTAAATACGCCAAAAATGTTCCAAATAATTCAAAATGGCCTAGAATTTCCAAACTGGATGTAGGGGAAATGTCTCTAATGTTGGCCTATGGATCTAAGATTGGGCCCATCGCTAAAAGTCTGCTATTTATCAATTTTATCTAGATGAACGCGTCATTGGGACGGTACTAATGGATATTTTTGGTCGCTATTGAAAATATAGTCGATTGCTAAAATCATGTATGAGCCCAAATTAGGGACATATAGGCCGACATTACCTACATTTCCAATGCCAAAATGGCCTTTAAATTGATTATTCCAGCTCAGATCAGATAAATTCTGCATTCAATTTTAAAAACCTATGTTCAAGTTATTATATATATTTCTGCGACCCACCTGAGGGCAGCCCGTGACCCACCGGTGGGTCGTGACCTATATATTGAGAAACGCTGCTTTAGAGGGAGCATTTTCTGTGTCTGGAAAATGTGTGGCTAAAATTCGATCTCGCATGTGACGATACGTTGAAGGTAAAAAGGTAACTGCATATATTGTTTTAGGAAATTCTCTCATGATTTCGCTACCCGTGTTTTCTTAGTTAGAGGAGCGTAGGAATGGGCATTAGACTGACGAAAAAATAATTTCGTTCCACTGTGCTCAAATGGTTCCAAATTGGGTCCTGATTAGCCTCTCAAAATTTGAACTCATTTTGTACGAGACTGACTTGGCGCAAACCAATTGAAATTTATATGGGAATTATAGCACTATGGAATATCCAAACTTTTTGTTCATAGTCTTCTAGCCATTTTCCATAGGGTACTGTCGAAAAGTTCTATATCTATTATTAAGAGAAATATTCTCAGCTTCAACTTCTCAGAAGATCATTTTTCACCGAATCGTTAATTTAATTAGTTATTAATTATTTAAGAGACTGATAATTTTACGGCATGATCAAGCAACTGTTTTGCGGGCAACACTGTATTGTGCAGTTTGACGTAGTAGCAATGATTTTTGTGTTCTATTATACGCGCCAGAAACACCAATGTTGCCTGCTGAACAGGTAAGTGAGTATAAACATAAGACATCAGTTACTTGAATTATTAATAACTTTTGTTTCTTTTATTGTATTGAAAAGTGGTGTTCAACAAAGTTGTAGTTTAGAAGCAGAACTATCATCTTTTTAAACAGCGAAATATGGTGAATTGTTCGATAGATTTGGAAAAAATGCTTTTCTAATAGTAATTTCCATATAAACTCCGAATTGTTTGTACCAAGTCAGTTTCTTACTAAATGAGTTCAAATATTTTGGAGGCTAATCCGGACCCAGTTTGGAGCCATTCGATCACTGTGGAGCAAAAGTTTCAAAATTTGCATCAGTCTAATGGGCAAACTTATTACGGACGAACTGCAGTGCACACTTACTGAGCCTTTTTCGTTAGTTTTGGAGAGCATTTGTGCTTTTAAAAATGATCTAAAACATTACTCTTATAGGAGATATGGCTCTAATGTTGGCCTATGGATCTAAGATTGGGCGCATCGCTAAAAAACTGCTATCTATAAATTGTATTTAGATGAACGCGTCATTGGGACGGTACTAATGGGTATTTTTGGTCGATATTGAAAATTTACTCGATTGTTGAATTTATATATGGGCCCAAATTAGGGACATTTAGGTCGACATGACATCCATTTCACCTACGTTGAATACGGAAGAATGTATTTTTCAACTCATAGTTTTGGTACCATCGTCTGGATACGAAATTTAATAATTTATTGTCTTTTTCCAAATTTGTTCCCCCAATATTGATTTTTCTTAAATGCGTTGGAACTGATAATTTACTGGTATTACTAGTAGGGGAAAGTGGTTAACAGTGAGACAGTGTTTGTTCAACAATTAAAAAAAAAAACGATGAAAGCTACGATCTTGACTCCATTCAAAAAAGATTTCTGTGTAAGTGAATCTGTTTCTCCATTATTGAAAAAAAGAAGCGTTTCACACAGCAATTGAGTATTCTATATTTGTGCATGAAAGCCATCCCGCCGACTGTGGCTGCGAAAATGTCTTTGACTACTAGAATGCTAATTATGACAATATTAATAATAAATTTAGTAGAACAAACATTTGAACAAAATTTTGCTTGTGCAGTAGACGTCTTTTATAAAATTTGATTGAAAACAATACAAGAGGAAATTCCGTTTAGACGAAGACGACGTATTTATCGCTCAAAAAATCCTGTTTGGTTCAATAAGCAAATCATTAATTTTAAATATCTGAAGCAAAAGGCTCACAAAATATATACAAAAATGCAATAATCAGGGTCTGCAGCTGAAAATTAAATTAAATCATGTCCAAAAAACTTCTTCACTTCCGTTAAAACTAAAATTCGTGCAACTTTCCATCAAAAATGTATGTGAACGAAAAAGTTGGCAATAATTCAGAAAATGTACGAAATCTTTTTTGCCAAATTTTCTCAAGAGACGTACTCCATTTTCTTGGATAATACTTTCCTGACTTTTCGAGCAATATTGGTGTTAGTAACATTTATGTTTAAGATATTTTGACAGGTCTAAGAGATTTGGACGCCACTAAAGGCTGGTAATGACCAGAGGTAATCCCGCCAGCTTTCATGAAAAATGTATCCACAGAACTCACAACCCCTGGCTGTTCAATAAATCACTTGTCTCCGGTACATTCCCGCAGAAATTAAAAAAAAAATCGTTGTTAATACCCATATATCCGGTAAAAAATCTGATATCCGAAATTATCGTGGGATTGCCATCATCTCGTGCATTTTTAAACTTTTCGAATCAATCACAAACAAAATTATCTTCAGTCAAATAAAACATGGAATAACAAATGCACAACACGGCTTTTTAAAGGTCGTTCAACCACAACAAACCTCCTGGAATTTATTGATTACTCATTAACTGCTATGGACAAAGGAAACC